GAGAGAGAGAGAGAGTGTGTGTGTGTGTGTGAGCGAGCGAATAAGGTGAAGAAGAAAGTGAAAATTGGAAAAGTCAGAGGGAAGAAATTTGCGGAATTTACAACGTGGAGGAAAGTTTCAAATCTTATTGCTACTGAATTATTCTGCAGTACACGTGTACTTGCGTATATAATGTAAACATATATACACGGATGCGAAATGAATCTTTTTCATATTGCCGATCAGCATCGTAGATGGGAAAGCCAACAGATTTACTTTTTCTTTTTCTTTTTCTTTTCTTTCTCTTCTCGCAAGGGAACAGATGAATTTGCGAAAAGATTGACATGGGCAATGAGAAAATTTCGTTTGCGTGAAAAGATGTCTTGTTCGAGGAGACTGTTTGAGAATAAGATAGTTCTGGAATATAAGGGATATGTCTTTGTTTTATAAGCTAATACGAAGCTATGGCACGGCGAAAGAAATGTTGGCAATACATAATATTGATATTTTTTTCAGATATTTTGTACCGAACTTGTATTCTGTCTCTCTCGTTCTCTCTCACTTTTTCTTTCTCTTTCAAATATACGAAGATTAAATTATTATTGCAGTTAATTATTTAAATAACTTAGCGAACGCACATTTGCAATCCGCGATGTATTCTTTTTCATGACAATTTCGAAATTGGTGTACCTATTTCTGTTTTTTTTTCTTTTTATACATCCTCAGTTAATGACTTTTGTATTCTCAGACTTCGCGACCGTAATTGAATTTTTTATGATAATTATAATTTGCAGTTAATTAATAAACGGTCCGATGAGATCGTATCTTTTAGGATTATAATCTGTATTTTTATAAATGTTTTTATACAACATCCGATCGTTCGTTCGGCGAAAGCTTGATTGAAAACGAAATGCGAGATGTATATTGCCAAAAATAAAGTTTCGAAACGAAAAATTCCTACGAATTGTTAAATTTAATTAATTTAAATTGTTAAATTTAATTAATTTAAATTGTTAAATTTAATTAATTTAATAAATTTAATTAATTTAATAAATTAAATTAATTTCATTTACTCGTAACTTCCTACTATTACGTAATTGACATCGAGAAATAAATTTCGTACAGCGAAAGAATGATACTCGATGTATAGTCAGCCGCATACACGACGAATGAAATACATCAAACAATTCACGAGCCATAATTATTCCTTGACCTATTATTTGGCATTGTTATTTGCGACTCACGCGCGCGTCGATTCGACATTTCCGGAAACCGCATTCCACGGGAAAACTCAAACGTTGTGCGTGACATACGTATGCGTGTCTGCATACATACAGTGTGTTAGGAGGTGTGCGTTACCCGCCTTCGCGGCGACATCGCCCGAATTATAAAAGCTACCTTAAAATTTAGTGATTGTGTAGTGCGACAATTGACGACTGACCGGCATGGCTTGGACTCGTGTTGTACGTAGAAAAAAAAATTAATCTTAAATCAAGAGAAAAATTCTCATATATGTAAACAAGAATATTGTAATCTTCTTAAAAATTTTAGTCGATTTGATTTGTATTGACGCAAATGTTACTTTTAGAAGATTATGATATTCTTGCTTATATATGAGAGTATTTGTCTTGATTTAAAATTAATTTTTTTTTCTGTCCGCACGCGTCTGTGCGCACGCCGTTTATTACGAGATACATATTTATAGATTATTACATAGACAAATATATATCGACGAGAAAAATATTCATTCTTTGTCCGTACGTGACTAAGAGAGATGTGTATATACAGAGTGGCCCATTATAATCACGCGATTTTCTTTATCTCCTAAACTATTTGTTATTCTCGAAAAATGTTTCAAATAAAACCTACTCGATTACAGGACATCTTATGATGGACACACATTTTTTTTTTTAGGTGGAGATGTTCCTGAAACTTCCAGATTGGTTTTTGTTTTTTTAAATGGAATCATTTATTTTTTATTACATAATATGATTTCTCTAATTATTATTCTCTATTCTGTATAAAAGTATTCAGATACAAAGATATAAAAAAATTTAAAAGGTCAAGATATTTTATAATTTCATATTCAAGATATATTCAAGACATATTTGACATGAAATATAAAATATTTCATAAATTATTAATTGTTTTATAAACTATTTTTTATGCATAAAATAACGGGAAAAATCATTTGATGTAAAAAAAGCATGTAATGCTTGTTGTTTTTCGAAACGGATAGGTTTTACGGAAAATATTTTTTCGAATAATAAGTAATTCGGGAGATATAATCGCGTGGAAAAATTATAATGCATCACCCCGTGTGTATATCTTACTTTACTTTTCTTTTAATTTATACTTACGTCTACGACGTGCTTTCTTGATAAATAAGATGAATCAGAAGTCGCGACTCTTCGAACATTTTCGGTTTGATTGTCGAAAAATCGGATGATCCTGATCCGCTTTGTAACGAATCGATCTGGCCCACCTAAGTGAAGTTCGAAATCGGACGGCCATATTGAGCGTTAAACGCGCGAACGAGGATATATGAGACGATTTGATTTCTAATTGCTAATGACATAATAGAGGAAACAATAGCGCGTTGATAACGGACTGAGAATCAATACTAGTAATTAATCTCATTTTAATGAATTTGTGATCGATGTCGAGGACCAGTCGAGTTCTCGAAGCCAATCGGCGTCTTCTGATGCACCCCTTACGCACGTACTTCCAAATCATGCATCCCTGAACCCTTCGTCGTCACTACGTGCCGGCAAGGATGATATACATGGAGATATACGCGGTGCGATCATTAACTCGGGAGTGAAAGGGGTTTCCCCGGGCTAATTTGTGGCCATCAATTCGCGATCCTACCGCGTAGAGTGTATTGTGTGTATATCTATATATATATATATATATATATATATATATATATATATGTATATATACGTACATATATACGTATTAGGTCAGATTGTACATGCGTTAAGCCGGTATTCGGACCAGCGCTCACTCGCTCGCTCCGCATCCGATTTTAGAAGAATCTACAGTGACGAGCCGCTTTCCATTTCCCCGCGACACGCGATCTACGGAAGGGGTAGATCCTCGGGTCGCCGATCCTCGGAGAGCGATCCTCGCGTCTTACTCGAAATCCCGAGGCTAATTAAGGGTGAATCGGCGCAGCATCTCGTTCGCCGAGCGTATTTTTGGACGAGAGCTCCTCCGCGCGATTCATCGCCACCTCCTCTTCCTCCTCCTTTTCCGCCTCCTCTTCTTCCTCCTCTTCCCTTTACGATTGACCGAGCGTGCAAGGAGATTGTTGCGCACTAGTCAGAGACTCCACAACCGTCGCAATCTTGTCCGAGCTTCGTTCAGCGACGATCGTTGGCACTTCACGCTTCGGGTTGCCTATTGAAGAACTGATACTGCAACACGGGAAAGAGAGCGGCATCGTCTTTTACGCTTCGTCGTTTCTCGAGCGAGATGTCTCTCGCGATAATAAAGAGGAATCGCGTTTAACAATCGGTCTTGGAAGAGCGCGCGAGTCTTGGTGGGATCTTTCTTATCTTACGGGAGAAGCACTTTGCTTATTGTTAGTTTCCAAGTTACGATCTCTGAATTTACATCCCCTTTACCGTTGTTGAATCTTTCTCGAGAAGATATTCTTATATCTTGCCTCTCATGACGACTTTTTCATGTTGAAAAAGAAATAATTCCGCTCAAAAAAACCGAATCAATTTCAGAAAGAGCATTACCGTCTAACTTTTACTCTTCACCGAACCCGAAAGATCTTGGACATTGGACTCTCGAGCTTTATTTACATCGGGAAAGTCACGCGCCGTTAAAATCCACTCCAATCCGCGCGACGCTCTCAGGAGCAAGGTCCTTCGAAATCATTCCGTTTCGTTATCCGTTCACCGCCGGCAGAAGACCACTCCGATCAATATTTCGATATCGCGCCTTCGCGGCGGTCTCTCCGAATTAATCGAGAAGAGAGAGAGAGAGAGAGAAATCTAATCTAAGGACAAGGTGCGTGGGGACGATCAAATCGGAGAGAGAGAGCGGCAGGCGCGAATCGAGCTAAGTCTTAGTGAATATCCTTACACTGTAACGGAGGGTCAGTGGGAATGCTGTCCCGGTAGCTGGAGTGATGGAGAGAGTGTTGGTGGTGGTGGTGGTCCGTTCAGGTTCAGGCAGATGGGGGGTAGTTGTCTTACCATGCTGGAGCCAACCTGCTGCAGTAGCCCGATTCCTTGCTGCGACGACGTCGAGGACACGGACGGCCGTCTCGAGCCGCGAATACTGTTCAGGCTCGAACTGAGCAGATACGGCACGCTGCTACTCGTGATCGGCATCCCACTCCCCTGCGAACAAATCCAGTTTCATTTCCGGATCAGCTCGTCCCTAATGTCCTGCGATTTATCACGCTGGAATTGCGCGCCGACTCCTAGAGCGCGAGAATTCACGACGACAGAAACGCATTTTCAATCGTTAATTGTTAATCGTTAAGATCTCGCGCGGTAGAATCTCTGTGAGATTCCGCCTGCCGTGATTTATTCCGTTAATAACCCGGCACATTAATACTCCGCGCGGCGGATCAATTAACAACTCCGATTTATTTCTGCTTTACGCCGCTCGCGTGATCAATAGGAGGGATTCGCTTTTACACAGACAACGAGGTAGTTTTCCGATTGTTCCGAAGGCGCAAGAATGTCAGTGGGTCACGCTAGTTTGAACCTCAACGCGTCCCCAACGAGCATTAGTTAACATCGTGAAATATTTAATTCTCCTTGAATATTTAATTCCCGAAACCGGAGACTCTACGTCAAAAATTCCGAGGAGATGAAATTCCGCGGGCTCCCTTTCGCACTTCCGCGTTTCACGCGAATCATTTCCATCGTTATTCACTCTTGTGATTTTTACATCGCCCATTTCTTTTTTAGGTCGTCCATTTTTTTACCGTATAACTTTATATCTTTTTATCACCATGCGTTGTAAGCGGGCGTTGTAACCACAACGCGCGATGTCGTTTCGCGTGCAGGCAGCGTCGTTTCGCGACGTGCAAATTATAATAGGCGCGGTGAAGAATGTGCGTGATATATGCATATACCGTGGGCGGGGATAAATTAATATTGGATCCGCGTCGTTCCTGGGGACCGGTGCTGGAGTGTCGGCGGATCGGCAGGCCGCCGCCGCCGCCGCTGCCGGGCGTCCCACCTGGCGAGCTCGCGCAAGACGGCGCTATCCGTATCTTCGGTGTCATCAGGGTGTTGTCCGACAGTCGTCTGCTCGTGAATGTGTTGGCGACACGCAGGAAATTACTATCGTTGGCCGAGGACGAGGTGAACCATCCGCCGAACACCGCTAGACAATCGAAACAAACGCGTCCGGCTTTGGTTAAATCGATCTCGGACAACCGAAACGCCGCGTCCTCCGTCCGAGGACAGCGTAAATATTTTATAGAAGGAGGAATGGGGACCCATCATCTTTCCACTTACCAGCCATTGAACTTTTCCGCGCCATATTTTCCGCGGATGCCGTCGATATAGACCCTGCGTGCGGGAAAAACGTCGTTTTAGTACCATAAACTCGGATCACTTAATTCCTCGGAGGACCGTTTCCATAAATATTGAATAAACTTAATGGAGTTCCCTATCTTCTTCCAGTTATGCCGCCCGAAGAAGTCGGCGTATATTTATTAAGCCGCCGCTCAGTTTAGCTAATATTTATGGCAACCATCTATCGAAACGTTAGAGAAAGTGTCGTAGCTCTTCTTTAAGGAAATATTACAAGGAGAAATGTTACAAAGAGAATATAAAAAGACGCATTATTTTCACGACAAGGAAATTTGAACGTTCAAAATCAATGTGAGGAATGTCTCGCTTAGACGTTGGAAAGGGTCCGCGTGATACTTCAGTATTCGCACCGATGCTGTTCTTCCTGGCCATGTCCTCGGCCGACGAGGTCTTGCGTTGCTCGATACGCAAATTCGGGATGTTGAACGCCGGCACGTGCACGTTGTCGGTGCTGTATTGATGCCGCAGAGGACGAGACTTGTCGGGGCTCGGTAGAGAGAGATTGTCGAGCGTCAGCTTGTTCCTTTGATTTCTGCAAAATTACAAAAATAAGAGAGAGAGAGAGCTCGCGTGGGATGAACGTTATGAAGAATGCGCCGTCTGAAGATGCGCCGATCGATATGACGGCGCAATATTAATTAATTAGCAGCCGCAATACTCGTTAATTATACGGAGTGCTTCACGTTGTACGTATTTGCGCAAATGGGATCTTCGTTCGGCCGTGACAAAAAGATTATTAATAATAAAGATTAATTGTAATGCAAAAGCTATTTATACTTTTTCTTCATAAATTTTAACTTAAAGGGATTGCTTTATCCTGCTGACGGATACGATGCGAAACTTATGTTCGTTAATACTTTTACAGTTAGGGAATACTTTAATATATTGGTTTTGTAACGATTTTATGCGCCATTAAATGTGCGAAAATACTCATTTATTTTTATGATTTTTACGATATAAACGGACGTTGTCTCGACTGCACGATCTTGGTGTTAATTACACTTGCCTTTCGATATTGTTTAACATGTCCATCAGCACCTCGAGGAGTAGTATGAATTGTTCGAGATTCAGTTTCGGATTCACGGTTTGTGGTAGCAGCGAAGGCATTGCATGCGTGGCCATCCAGTTAACCGATAATCCATATTTCTTGTCAGTCAGCATTAGCCTGTAAATGTCTGAAACACGCAAATCGAGTGAAAATGATTAGACATGAATCTAATCATCCTTTTTTTTAGACTGTCTATTTCTAAAGCGAAGAAAAAATAATTTCTCCAGTAAATTCCTCAAGAAAGAAAAAAAAGTTCATTTTTCTTTTTCTTATCTCCTTTCCTCGTTTTCTTTTTCTCCCTTGATACAGCTAGAATATTATCTCGAATTGTTTCATTACATATTAAACGGTCCCTGACCAATATTTCCCCTCCTATTGGCAGGCGATAAGAATATTCGATCAAAAAGTCTTGCTCGAGATTATAAATATATTCACCCTTACATCGAGACTATAATATCCGAATTTAGTCTTGCTTATTTCAACAAGAAGAATAAGACCGCACTTTGAAATATCTTTTTAATGCGTCATATTTAAAACAGATATTTTTTATCTCGATTCACAGCAAACGTTTGATCATGTTTTCTAGGGCAATCAATTGATCGGCGTCGGGCGTGGCTTCCGTTAGGTGAATTCGCGTGTATTCGCTTTAACTTCACTTACTTACAACCCGCACGACGATCTCGGGTTCTTGCAGCTTGACTTTACAGAGCAGCGGTAGGATGCAGTCGATGATCTTCTGCTTCTCGAGGCGGCACAGGATGCACGGCACCACGTCCATCAGCACCCGCGCGTTCGCCGAGTTGTTCTCGAAGGCGTCCAGAAGCTTCGGCAGCACCACGTTGCGTATGGCGTCGTCTTCGAGATAGTTCGTTACATGCGCCACGGCCACGAACGCGGCCGTCTGATGGACAAACGAATCGATCTTAGATACGTGACAAAATTTTTCAACAACGTTATTTAAATAGGTAGATCGGCGATATTTTTAAATTGCGAAAATTTCGAATATTGTAAGAAGTCGATGAATTAAAATGAGACGTGCAGGAGATTGTAGATTAATTTTAATTCTTAATTAAATGGATTAATTAAAAGTACGAATTTACATTTAAGAGTTAGTCTCAGAGAAATGTTATTTTTTTTCTTTTTTTTAATTGAAAAATTTCAGTTTTGCAAATCTTAAAGTTTTATTTCCGCAACTTTGTTGGGCCGCGCTTTATCCTGTCGATAAGGTAATCCAATGGTATGTAAAAGTATTGTCTCTTCCTGTTGGGACTGAGCGTTACTCACCCGCACTTGAATGGTCGAATTCTCGAAGGACATGTAGAGCATCGAGAGCACCTCGCGCTCATATTCCTGGGGCGTCTTCTCCAGGATGATGTGCAGATTTTCCAGCAGAGTCACGGTTCCCTGAATTGACTTTCGATTGGTGAAGAGAGGTCTGCGGGGGAGGGAGGCGAGAGAGAAACGGAAGAGAGAGAGAGTGAGATGAGACGTGCCTATTTCGCGCGGTCTCGCGCTCATTTCCGCCCTCGTTCTGTGTAATACGTACTTAAGCGTGGGAAACACGATCCGCTCGTACTCCTCCTTGGTGCTGTTCTGAACGATGTACAGCATGGGCTGTAGCACGGCCGACAGCACTTCCTGCGTCTGCAGCTCCGCGTGGAGATACGTCCAGATATGCTGATACCAGAGTTTCTGCACAAACGGAAAACGCTCGCGTGACACGCGACATTTCGCGGAAGCGGAGAGCCACGAATGATTAGGGTGAATCGAATATAGCTATGGTGTAATTTACACCGTAAAACAACGCGGATTAATTAACTGCTGCGAGAAAGAGAGGAAGAGAACACGGAGCGTGAAAAATTTATCGAATCATTCATTCTACTCAACGATCCCATTTGCGATTAAACGATTTTAACGATTCTTCCTCGTGTCTCAAGGATCTATTGGAAATCTATTGAATTTGCAGAAAATTGTTGAGTATGCTCGATGCAGTAAAACGGACTAAAGGAATTATAGTGGAATAATTATTAGCGGAAGCGGATTACCCCCTCTCCTCCCCCCTATTCAAGATGAGGAAAATTATGATTTGTAAACATCCTCGCTCTCGGAGAAAAATCGCAATTTATAATTTATAATTTTATAATTTATATCAAGATTCGGATTAATGTTTTATATATTTCGGTTCTTCGTTACAATTCACCCTCCGCTCAGCCCAAGTTACGTAATGCATTCACGCTTACCCTCGGCATATACGGCAACAGTTCTCTCAAAGTCGTCGTGTAAAAGTGCTCCTTCTGATGCACATCTTTCATCTTGCTGACGTCGAGAAATTGTAGGGCATGCACAAACGGGTCTTGAAAGAACTTGATCATGGTTAAAACCTGCGCGGTCGGCCTCTGCTTCGGGTCCTTGTGCAAGAGTCGCGTCACGGCCTCCCGAAGCGGAATCGGTATCAGCGGCAAAATAACGGCGACTTGATCGTCAAGCTGGTGAAGAAAACGACAATCCAGCGAGTCTTTGTCATAGGCTTACGTTCTTTTACTTTCCGATCAGGTAGACCGCGATTAAAGTTTCCATACATAACGATAAGGAAAAAAAAAAGAAAGAAAAGGAAATCCGTAACTCGAGGAAACTCCCAGCTAAAAAGGTCGAGGTTTATTTACGAAGATCAGAAGGACGAGAAAAGTCGAAGAGAGATTCTATGTCTCCTGAGAGCTAAAACCTTTTAAAGATCATCCGTGATTTCTTCGCGCACTTTCAAAGGGGATCGTGTCTCGTCCTCGTCTCGCGGACGGATTAACTTACAGTCTCGAGTTGCTTGAGATAATCCGAGCAGCTGTGGTTCGCCTGTATTAGCGGACGGCCGTGATTGTAAATCGCGCATATCGTCATGCCCAGGCTGTACATATCGCTGGAGAAGCTCGCGAGCTTTTTCTGCTGCACTTCCGGCGCTGCAACAACGTTGGTACAGAGGGATGCAAACAACGTGGAGCGAATCATCAATAATGCAAATAAGAGATCTCTTCGCGCAGCCACGAGAGGAAAGCCGTTCCCTGGTAACGGATTCGATTTTCGGTTACGAGTCGATTGCAAAGTTTCATCGCTAAAGTTCGAGGGCAATGAAGTTTTTGATATAAAATCAATCCTGTCGCTCGCGCGCGGGTTTATTTTTCTTTCCTGCATATGTAATCAAGCGACTTGTTTACGTATCGACGGAGCGATTGGAATATTTAAAATTTTACGTTCAATCAGAATTCATCAAATATTCTCGATTATGAAATGAAATTCGAATTTATATTGTCGCGACGACTGTGTGTCTAGTATTTCCTAGACACGTTGTGTACTTTTACCTTCGGCACGACTATGCAATAGAGTTGTCTTTATCCAACACACGAAGCTTGCGGGAGGGAAAACAAATATTTACCGGATTAAATATTTAATGTACACTCGAAATATCCGTAAGTTTGTATTTAGCTATTGTGGAGAAATTGATTTCTTTATAAAAAGAATCTCTCTATTTGCAAAGGCATGATACAAGATCTCCGTTTATGGAAAAGCCGTTTATGGAAGCCGTTTCTATTTATGGCCCGCGTTTATTACTTCCGTGTTACTTTCATGTGAAGACTCGGAAATGTACTTAACCATGTTAAGTGCCGACGAAAGGCAAACTCCACGATTTTATTATTCAAACTTGCATGACTCGTAAAACGCACGTCGTTACTAGAGGCAGCTTTCTCAGCGTGGACGCGTGTTAACAACTTCCGCGATGTCTTACCTATATAATCAAGATTCGGTTGAGTCATTTTCGGCATGTGCTTCGTCCACGATTGCACCGTTATCGGTATCTCTTTGGCTCCCTCTAACAAGCGAAACGCATTCCAACTTAAGGGTAGAATTACGCATCTATCTTTCTTAATCTCTAGCTAATTACATCATTTATCTTTTATCTCGCAAAATTTTGCTTATTCCGTATCTTAATACTGTTCTATATAATGAATAAATTAAAACAATTTCAGGATTTAATGATTCTTTCGCTTTGTCGTATTGAGCAATTTGATAGGAAGCGTAATATATACTTTATGTGATGAAAAGTGTCTGATATTGACTAAAAATGGACAAACTTCGATTAGCGTTGCTATCTTTAGTACCAGGGATGACGAGATTGGACTCACCGATAAACTCGAACCCCGACAACTTCCACGTGCCCCTTTTCGTAATAATAATGCTCGTCGGGCAAACATTTCTATGGAGAAATTTACAGTTGCCATGAAGAAATAATAGGGCTTCTGTGATCTGTAAAAAAAGTAATAAAAAGTTTGTAATGTCAACTATTGGACGTTCGCTTTTTTAATTTCAATATTTTTTGTAGCGTTTCATGTAGTTTGTATGTTATTTCCTCGTGGATAGAACAGTTTTATTAAAATACTTAAAAATTCTACCAGGATCTATGGATTTAAAATTAAATTTTATTGAGCTATCAAAATAATTATGTAATTTAAATTTATTACTAGAATATTAAAAAATTGCAATATTATCATGCTTAAACGTTCCGTATAATAATTTTAATGGCCCAACAAAATTATTTCCAGATCTGTATTTGGTCAAATTTTTAAATGTTTCAGCAAAACCATCCTTTCGATGTTGCAATTCTAATACTTTTTAATATTCCCTTTTTAACATTATAATTTATGTTTATTTTCCATAGCAGCTCAAGTAGATTTAAATATTACTCGCCAAAGACATAATTGCGTGTTCGAGTCGTTAAATTGCATTGCTGAACGCGATTGCTGTTACACGGCGGCACAAGTTTCGTGGTTTGAGGGGGTTGGCGACATTAAGCATTCTATTACATCCCTCGTAATACATTCTATTATGCGAGCTACGTCGAAGAGTGGCACCGCAGTGATGGAGGTGATTTCGCGTGGTTGCAACCAGGAACTCGTTTTTGAGAAAATTCACTTTGACCATCCTCTCTCTTTCTCCCCCTCATCACCTTTCCATTTTCCCTCTTTTTCTCTCCTTCTGCCTCGTTGATGCACGCATGCGCTCGGATTCGACTTAATTTTCCGCAACGCGACTCCGTTATTGTATCTACGTTGTGCTTACGCACAATGTCATGGTCATGCATGCGTACTCATATGTCGAAATCGTCTCTTCTATTTGTCATTACCGGCTATATCTAATTCGAGCCGTAACGTGCGCATTATATCGTAACAATGTAATATAATATGAGGATAGTTTTTATCGAAAGCTTCGATCACGCGTTTATTGAATATTATACAGACATACACACACACACACACACACACACACACACACACACACAGAGAGAGAGAGAGAGAGAGAGAGAGAGAGAGAGAGAGAGAGAGAGAGAGAGAGAGAGAGAGAGAGAGAGAGAGAGAGAGAGAGAGAGAGAAGAAGAAAGAGAGAGAGAGCACAAAGAAGAGCATTGACAATATCATGACCTGGATAAAAGCGCTTAAAAACACTCCACTTTGTTCTTCTCCCCCGTGATCTTACTTTATACACGACTTAACTGTTAATGGACGAATGCCATTATCAGTGCGCTGGATTTTAAGAGATCGCAAGGTATGTCTACGAAAATAGATAAACAAGACGAGTGAGATTTACGAAAATCGGTTTATCGGGATATATAGTCAAAAGAGAAGTTTCATAAATATTTCCTTATGTGACGTTAAGTCGTGTTTCCTAAATATTTTTTTATGTGACTCGGGTCGAAATCCTTTTGTTGACAAATGATTTAAATTCTACAAAAAGAATAGTTTTGCTGGCAAATCTAAAAATTTGGTCAGACACAAATCTGAAAATAATTTTGTTGGGCCTTCAAGATTATTACGTATAACATTCACGTTTATTGTTAGAAGAACATTTTTGGATTATTATCATATTTACACGTCCTGCATAATAATTTTAATGGAAAATTATTTTTATTATCTTCAGATTTTAAATTTGCCAGCAAAATCGTTGCTTCCGCGTATGACTTTTACGAAAATTAAAATTATAAAATTATATAAAATTTAATATATTAAAATGATAATATATAATGTTTAATATATTATAATATAAAAATCCCCTGGAAGTTTTTTATCGATAATTCGACCTTTGACATCGCGCTCTCTTACCTGCAACAATCCGTACTTGATCTCCAGCTCGTGCAGCTCGTACTCCTTGATGAACGTCGAGCGATGATGGCTCGTGATCGCCGGGTGATTCTGTTTGCCCATCGGTCCCGAGGATTGCGCCGCGGGGGTATTCGCCAATTGTTCCTTGTACGCCAGGACGTTTGCCAGGCTGGCGAGGACCGGCTCCGAGGCGAAGGCCAACGTATCCGCGCACTCCTCCACTTTGTACGCCTACATCGCCGGTCAAATATAGCGCATATCGATCTACGGAGTGGCTCGCAAAAACGCTCGACGATACGCGATACATATAGAGATAACGATCGAAACTGCATTCGAGTGAATTCGCGTGTCAGGCGAAGCCACCTCGAGTGAGCGCGTCAACACGTACCTGAAGAAGCTTCGGATGCGAGTACCGTTCCATCTGAGCGGCGCCCGCACGCAAAATATCCGTGACCGTTTCTCGCCGTTTCGGCTTATGCAGCTTCTCCACGGATCGCTTGTCGAACAGGAATATCGAGACCTCCTGCAAGCAGGAGTAAACGGCATTCCTTCCGCGCACATATCGCCGACATCTCCTCCTCCCCCCCCCCCTCCCCTCTCCGCAATCTCTGAAGTACAATCGAATTCCGAGTCATCGGAATTCGAGCACGAGGACCTCTCGATCTCCCCGAAGTTGGACACGAGATCGAAACAACGAATTGTCCTCCGTTCTCGCGCTCGCGAATCCTCCGCTCGAATCCCCCAGGAATGGAATTCTCTCCGAGTCCGATCAATTCGAATGTAATCCGCGACTCGATCACCTCTCTTTCTGTCTCCTCCGGATCCGGATATCGTTAGAAAGATGGGGGAAACTGAATCACGGTTAAAATTAATCGCAGCACTCGGACGTCGTTAGCGACGGCTAAACCGTTTATCGATATCGCCGTCGGCACGATACTAAGGAAAGTAAGAGATCCAAAGCGTGAGGGGGGGCAAATTTTTGGATTTTTCTCCCGCGATTTTTACTGCTAGTTACCATCCTGTCCTTTTTCCGATAGCCGTCGTATATGCGCCAGACGTTTTCCGGCCCGGCCGTGGCGGACTGCTTGCCGATCTCGTACGTGTTGCGTATTGGATCGGGAAGCAAGTCGCACGGCGCCGTGCTGCTGCCCCTGGACTTCGCGAACATGATGAATCGGCCAACCAGCCAGAGGAACCAGCCCCCTTCAGTGGAACAGCGTCGATCTCGCCCGTTTATTATCTGCCAAACCGAAATCACCGTCGACCGCGTTATTCTATCGCTCTGGAGGATAAAGGGGGGGTTAGAGGAAGAAGAGCGGCAGAAGGGGGCAAGGGAAATGGGTAAGGGAGGTCCGGGGTGAAATATCGGTGTAATATCGGGAAAGCGATCTCTATGTTCGTTCGTGACAATGGAATATGCCGCGCTACGTGAGGTACGCTTTTTCTCTCTCTCTCTCTCTCTCTCTCTCTCTAC